CGTGATTACTAAGAAACACATGTCTTATAGTAATTGAGCTTCGGCAATGTGTAGCCTAGTGATTAGTATGTTCCTACTGCCAATCATAGGGCCTAGTGATTGATGTGTCCCTACTGTCAATCAGAGGGCCTAGTGATTAGTGTGTCCCTACTGTCAATCAGAGGGCCTAGTGATTAGTGTGTCCCCACTGTCAGTCAGAGGGTTTATGGTTGAAGTTCTGTTACCGTAAAAACGCGATCTGCATTTCGGGGCAGTGTTGCGTTTTAAGGGTGACGGTCAATTACCACTAATCAGTCAGACAAAAGTAACCCAAGAGTTAATTAACTGGGGAGGGGGGCGGAGGTATTGTTGACTACTTGCCTTTCTTTTAGTCTGTCCACGGTAACCCAACGATAAGTCTGAAGGTTTATGTCGATAATAGTCGGTTTCAATACCTTCTGTCGGCAGAGCACAAATAGCTTATTGTGTGACTTTGAGCTTAACAGCGCACAAATAAATATGTCTGAGGGTTTATACCGCTAAAAATTGGTTTCAATACCCTCGATGGACAGAACATAAATAGCTCATTATGTGACTATGTGCTTAACAACAAATAATCACATTCTCTAGTTCATCATTTCGAAATTAAGGACAGCAATGCTAAAATAGTCCTCGTAAAGTTTTACGCAAAAATCTGAAACAAACAAACATTAATCTTTCCTAACCTACTTTTTGGCTAGTTATCTCTTTGATGTCATGCCGACTTTTCTCAGTGCAAGGAATTCAGAGATCTGATAAACGGTTAGTGAAAAACACTTGATACAAAATGTCTAGCATTTATCTTAGTTTATGTTGGATATTTTTGAATTACATACAGTTTTCATTAGTTTGGTTATATGACTTGTGTGATTGTGCTAGAGTAACGTTAAAGACGTAATTTTATTATAAATTGATACTGCGTTCCTTGGAAACCATTAACAATAAAAGTTATAAGGACAATTGAAAAACTAAGTTAGTGAGCAGTCAGTTTTTATATGTGAGTGAGTGTGCTTCAGGTTACTTTCGAATCGTACGAAAGATTGTTTGATCAGTTCACAGACAAAAAATTCCGATAGATGCCGCCACCACCCACAAGGGAGCAGCAGATAAGGACAATAACCACAAATCCGATGGTATATCGAATGACATTCGTACTTTGAGTGATGTGAAACCAAAAATACTTTTACTAATTGAAAAAGAGGGTGGGGAGTATAGGTACTATGCCTTTATGTACAAGTAACTCACCAGTAGTGTTGTTTTGTTTTTTAAAGTAGACTAAAAGCTCCACCCCCACCGTTGGTTCAGCGGTAAATCTGGGGGGGGGGGGCTTATAACGCTAAAAATAAGGTTTCTATATATCCGCAGTGGGCACGCACAGATAGCCCATTTGGGAATTTTGTGTTTAACAAGCAAACAAAATTAGATTAAATATAACCATAATAGGCATGTCTTCTTCAACTAATAATAAAGGTGAATAAATATACACCAAATATTAATCAAAGTTCAGAACAATAATTCTCTGCTCTAAAATTTTTGTTGTGTGTGAAACAAAGCTTCTTTACTAATTTTTGTGTGTGTGAAAGAATTCAATTAAAATGCTAACACTGCATGTCATAAACACACTGATAAACGAGAGCCCGGCATGATCTAGTGGTTAGGGCACTCGACTCGCAATCTGCGAACCCCCCCCCCCACCATCCATCACCAAACATGTTTTCCCTTTCAGCCGTGGGAGCGTTATAAAGCGACGGTCAATCCCACTATTCGTTGATAAAGAGCAACCCAAGAGCTGATGGTGGATGATGTTGACTTCCCACTAGTCTATCACTTCAAAATTATTGACTGCTAGTGCAGTAACTCTGATGTAGGTTTGTGTTATATTTCAAAAAGCTATATAAATCACAATACCCAACAAGGGTTTGTACCAATTGTTATAACTTACTAGACTGATATTAACTTCAACTCAATTAAGGCAACTTGTGCAATAAATTATAAAATTTAACATAATATCAACGTTTAAAATACACAATATAAATTTGTATATGGCCGACGGCCAAATTAAAATACTCTACATGTAGTTTGAAGCTATAGAAATTTGTAGTATTTAAATTTTTGCCGTTGGCCAAACAAACAAAAAAAATATTGTGCGTTCTAAACTTTGACCCTATTTTTAATATTAAAAAGCTCACTAGGCACTTTAATTAAAAAATCACTTTTGTTTCGGTAACTGCAAAACTTGGCTCACATTTTAGGTTTGAACATCGTTTTAAAAGTATATTAGTTATTGTATTGGGTTTGACGTTAGTTTCTACAAAAGTGTATATATCAAATTTATAAATAATCCTTCGTTAAATCATATTCAATTCACCATTATTAGGCTATTGATTATAAGTAAACAAGGCAACTTTTCTTTTTGTCTTTTAATCCTTTGTTTCTAACAAAATCGAGCTCGCTATCTTTCTAATTTTAATAGAAACAAACACGAGGAAATATAACATTCTTAAGTAAATATATATATATTGATTTGCATCTATCTACCTACCTACCCAAATACTGTATTTTTTATGAGAAATTATTAACTAATAGTTTATATTTCTTAAATCTGTTAAATTTAGGTTTTTAGTTAGTTTGAGTTTGTTTATATGCTACATTTGCTGTCTGACTTATAAAGATGTTACAAAAGATTAATTTCATTTCTACCAATCACTACTAACTATTTTCAAAATATCGTACAAGTTCAATGAACATTAGTATGACTTTGGACTAATCTAAATATTTTTATTGAATCGACGGGTTACATGATTTAACAGAGGTGATTATGGGTAAAATTAGCTCTTTTTCTTGTTTTAATGTGTCTGTTTGTTTCAAACTTTTCGTGCAAAGCTACGCAAAGGGCTATCTACACGAATCCATCCCATCCTCAATTTAAACTGATAGACTAGAGATAGACCTGATGATGACAAAACCTTGTCGAAACGTTG